GCAACATATTTCTGTCATAGTGGGACTGCTTATTTTCACAGTTTTGCTGCAGGGATATACTTGGTTGTAAACGGTAAGCTCTGTTGTTATTCAAAGAGATCATTTTAGAACAGACAAGATTTTCATATAATAGTCTTTATTATCAATCTGTTTATTTTTCCTGCATCCTAGATCATGACAGTCGAACACTGACTCATGTCAGACAAACTCCAGAGACAACATCAGTCCAGGAGGGGGACACAGTTAATCTCCACTGTTCTCTTCTCTCCGAGACGTCTGTAAACTCTGGTCAATGTCCAACTAAAAACAATGTATACTGGTTCAGAGTCGGATTCGGAGCCTCCCATTCAAGCTTTATTTATACTCACAATAGCAGCTGTGATGCTCAGCAAAGGAGCTGTGTCTACCGACTGTCAAAAACTATACAGAGCTCCTCAGACACTGGAATATACTACTGTGCTGTCGTCACATGTGGAGAGATCCTGTTTGGAGAAGGATCTAAAGTACAGACAAGTATGTATAACAAAGTGTATGTACTTGAAGCACTAACTGAATTTTTTACAGTTTTGCTCTGCTCAATGCTTCTGGTCAAACTGAAAACTGCCTCAGTTTTCCATGAGCTAATCAATATAACAAATCTAATACTGAAATTGGTGTATTTTTTCATTTGAAATTTTTTACATTTTTTAAACAAAATTGTAGGTTTTAAATTCTGGGAACTGCCTGACACCTGTGTGTCATGCCATTACCAAATGATCAACTCTTTATTAGAACATTTTTCTTTCTCTGAGCTCATAAATTGCACTTTTACTCATATACTGCACTTGGGCGGGGGAATAAAATGACAAAGACACTGTGTTAGGTTATTTTAGTAATTAACATAGTCTTAATCTATACATTTTTAGCATAAATACAAAGCCCTTCACCACTCTGCCAGGACAGGTATGTTAAAAAAACATGGACAATAAGTGGATGGATAGATGGATTATTTATTTATTTTTCTGTCTTTTGTAAGGTGAATATGTGGGACCTGTTCTCATTGTCCTCAGTGTGCTGTTAGGTCTTTGTGTGACTGTGATCGCAATTCTTATATTCTTCAGAGATTAAAGGTAAGATTATTATTTTGTTTATAAACTGTTAGTTTTTTACAAAATCTTTCATTTATGCTGGTAGATACGGTGGCCCTGCACCTCAGGGCCACCGTATAGGTAGAATATTAGAAAACATATGTTATGGTCCATATCTGACTATTGGTCAAATATTTTTTGTAAATTATAAAACTGAATGTTTATAAACATAGAATATTTCTACTTTCACATCTTGCAACTCATTTTACTAAATAAAACATATATTCTGTGACCAGTTCTGATATTTCTTTAAGCAATAGTTTTGAGGACGCAAATATGAATTTTCTGAGTTTCTCCACACAGAAAGAAGAAAGAAGAGAAACATCATCTGTCAACAACCATGAACGGGAATAATGGGGAAGAAAATATCAGTTATTGTGCATTTATAAAATGGCCAAAATATTTTCATTGTAAGCTTTGTTTGTGTTCCATGCTGACGTTGCTTTGTAAAAAAGACAATGAACTGTCTGCTTAAATGTTGCAAGATATTTCTTTTTGGCTTTGTGTCTTAATTAGACAGGCTGAAGTTCCACTTTCTTATTTCTCTTTATGTTTATAATCTTATTCAACAAAGTATAATTTTGTATAAAATTCTCAGTTTTATTATTGTTTAAAAATTTGAACAATCCTATTTTTTGCTGGGCAATGTGGTTGAAATGACTGTTTAATATTTAATAAAACTTAAACATGCTGTTTATATAGTGTAGTTAAACATTTGGTGAATTGTATTTTATGTTTCAATGATGGAATTTTTTTTTTTTATTTAGTCATTAAGGCAGGACATAAACAGAGACTAATTAAAATGAGTACAAATTACATTTCTAGAAGTAGCATTCCAGCTTGTCACTTTCTTAATTCACAACATGAACAGTGGTTCAAACATGATAAGTAGTACATATAATTAAGCAACTATAAAAGCTATTTAAAAAAAACTATAAAGTATGGAATGTTTGTCATGTAAGAACAGGTTCCGCTTCCCAATTGACATGAAATTAAAAAATATTTCTGAAACCAGTTCAGGCCAAAAATGTGTTGTTGATGGAACATGGTCAAGCAAATCAGAAGAACTGGTTCTCTACTTTTTTTTTTCCCTTTCACAGTTATCTGCCCTGCTCACGACAGAACTTTGTTTTGATTGGAAATATGATGAATTGGAAAATTCATCTGCAGACAGCAGTGAGGAGGAAAGTGCAAACCAGACCATTAATAAGACTGTCTTTCGTAAGGAAGCGGCATATTTCGTAAAAGTAAGAATGCCCGCTTTTGTAACAGAAAAAATACATGCAATCAGGCAATTACAAAAAAAAAAGAAGAGTCCAAAAAGATTCAGCACACTAAATATTCATATTCAAGTTAAGCTAAAATATGAGGCTACAGATAATATTAAATTAAGAACTGTTTTTCAGCCATAACACAAGGGGCAGCTCTCTGAAAACAGACAAACTTCTCAACACTTCTAGTAACCCAATGAAAGTAAGAAAAATGTACAAAATGAACTGCTAACTATAAGCCGCACCCACAAAGTTGAAGAAAAAAAAATGGAAACGAAAGTATACAAGCTGCACCGGGCTACAAGCTGCTGGTATCTTCACCCCTCTTGGTTTTCCACAAGGACAAAGTGTTAATAAATCTGCTATTAAGGATGCAGCCCTGCGTTTCCTAAACCGAACCATGGATTCGTTCACGCATAGGTTATGTACAGCGGCTATCGATTTGTACTGCGAGATCGATAGACTTCAACTTAAAAGCAGCATTATATGAACTTCTTCGTGTTGTTTCCATGATGAGAGGAGATGAGTTTGAAAACATTTCTCCGTCATGCCTGCTGCTTGCATGTGCATTCCTGCTAAAGAGCCCCCTGGAGGTTGAAGAAAAATCTGCACCAGGCTACAAGCCACATGGTTCAAACCGTGGGAAAAAAGTAGCGGCTAATAGTCAGAAAAATACGGTAGTTTTAGTAATTCTGCCACACATATGAAGTATTTATATTGCTTATGTTGCTCACTACGAGCATGATGTGTGTAGTGTGTATTAAGCACAACTAAGTGCTATGCTGTAGTACATGAAAATGTACATCACTGAGGCAAACATCTCCCTCTCTCTCTCTCTCTCTCTATATATATATATATATAAAAAAATTCCCTTCTCACCCACCGCGGGTGGTTCTTATCCTCTGAGCTCGGGTCCTCTACCAGAGGCCTGGGAGCTTGAGGGTTCTGCGCAGTATCTTGGCTGTGCCAAGGACTGCACATTTCTGGACTGAGATGTCTGATGTTGTTCCTGGGATCTGTTGTAGCCACTGCTCCAGTTTGGGGGTTACTGCCCCAAGGGCCCCGATGACCACAGGCACCACTGTGGTCTTCACCTTCCAGGCCCTCTCCAGTTCTTCCCTGAGGCCCTGGTATTTCTCCAGTTTCTCGTGCTCCTTTTTCCTGATGTTGCAATCACTTGGTATTGCTACATCTACCACAACGGCTTTCCTCTGTTGTTTATCCACTACGACAATGTCTGGTTGGTTCGCCATTACCATTTTGTCTGTCTGGATCTGGAAGTCCCACAGGATCTTAGCTCTGGCGTTCTCCACCACCTTTGGGGGTGTTTCCCACTTTGATCTCGGGGTTTCCAGTCCATATTCTGCACAGATGTTTCTGTACACCACTTTGGTTATTTGCTGGTGGTACATCCCATGTAGGGGCTTGTCCTCCCATGATGGTATCTCTGGCACCTCAACCTCCGTTCCCTGTTGTCTGAGACATTCACTGAGCACATTGTCTGTTGAGGCTTTGTCCCTGATATATTTATGGATCTTAGTTGTTTCGTCCTGGATAGTGGTTCTCACACTCACTAGTCCTCTGCCTCCTTCCTTGCGGCTCGTGTACAGTCTCAGGGTGCTGGATTTGGGATGGAACCCTCCATGTATTGTTAGTAGTTTTCGAGTCTTAATATCTGTGGATTTTATCTCCTCCTTTGGCCAGCTAATTATTCCAGCAGGGTATCTGATTACTGGCAAGGCATAGTTTCCTTCAGCCCAGCGGGTATTACTATTATCATCCTACTTTTTACGTTTCTATACCCAGTCCCCTATGTTCTGAAGTTGTAGGATCAAATAAATGCTACAATAGCAGCCCTTTAGGTACCTCATATGTAATATTGTGCCTTGATGAGAGTTCTGGTTTGTCTAATATAATCTGTACCAGTTTTAACACAGTACAGACCAATACAACCATCTTCTCTCATATTTGAAAACATGTTATAATCAATTACTGCACATTCAAGCAGCATTTGAGAATCGTTAACCTTCAAGCTAATTAGAGGAGCTAATTCTCATCCTGGTTTGTCGGCAAGGTTAATCATCTTGTATATCAGTTTTCTTCATTTAGAGAGGATGTGATTTTTGTAAAATAGCAACCAGTTTTGTTTATTTAACCAGCTGTGAAGAATTTCCAGATTTTATGAAGCAAACTACTTTAATGGAATGACAGATCAGACGTACTGAGAGTGAATAGCCTTGAAAATATAAATATACCCATTACAAATTAAGAACATATTTGTAATGTGTATATTTTCATCTAAATATCAGACTTGAAATCTAATGACTCTAATGAAAATCTATTTCGAATTATTTCTCAGAGAATTTTGGGCAGTGCCTTACATTCATTTGTCTTTTAGTTTGTTTGTTTTTTTAACAATATTGACAAAATTGTTTTGGACGTTTATGTTTTCTAAAAATTGTTTCACCTCAAGTTCACAAACTTCAGTCACACATTGGTTTATTTTCCGAGGGTGTGCACTTCCAACCTTTCAGCCAATCAGAACAATTTGCCTTTTGAACACATTGAAGACCTGAGACCAAAACTTCATTTAGAGAGGAAGGAATCGTCAGTGTGAGTCTTGTGTTTATTGTTTGGTGCCACAATGACCAAAACACTGTCTGCTCTGGTTGTTCTCACCATAGCTTGTAAGTACCTCTTTTATTCAATATATTCAAAGTTGAGAGACAATATATAGACGAATGCATTTGTTCAGTTGTAAAGTTATGTGATTGGATTCATTTAACAATTTGAATTATTTTGTCCTCTCTCTCTTCTTCTTTTTGTTTTTTTTAGCTCTGACTCAAACTAATGAGGTTCCACATCAGATCAATTTGAAAGTGGTTGATGTTGGTGGGGATGTTACTCTGTATTGTCCAGGTTCAAACAAGAAAGGCGACTTCTTCTACTGGTACAAGCAGCCGCTTGGACATATGCTCCAGACAGTAGCTACATCAGTTTTAGACGAACCAAAACTCACTGAACAATTTAAAAATGATCGCTTTAAATTTACACCAGGAGATTCTCAATACTCTCTTACTATCAAGGATATCAATAAAGAGGATGAAGCAACTTACTTCTGTCAAAGTGGGGCTGCTTATTTTCAGACTTTTTCTACAGGGATATACGTGGTCGTAAATGGTAAGCTCTGTTATTTTACGTCAAACAGATGATTTTGTGTCAGGCAAGATTTTCTGATAATAGTCTAACAATCTGTTTATTTTTATTTCACTCTAGATTGTAAAAGTCAAACAGTGACTCATGTCAGACAAACTCCAGAAACAACATCAGTCCAGAAGGGGGACACAGTTAATCTCCAGTGTTCTCTTCTCTCCAGCAGTAGAGAAAACACCAATCATAATCCATCTGATTACAATGTGTACTGGTTCAGAGCTGGATTTGGAGAATCCCGTCTGAGTTTTATTTATACTCAGAACAACAGCTATGATGCTTGTAATAGTAGCCGTGTCTTCAATCTGTCCAAAAGTATACATAACTCCTCAGATACTGGGATTTACTACTGTGCTGTGATCACATGTGGAAACGTCTTGTTTGGAAAAGGAACTAAAGTAGAGATGAGTACGTATATTCAATCATATGAATTTTGTGGAAATGTCTAAAAAAGTATATTAACTGCTAAATGCTCAAATTATTGATGGTTTCAATTAATATGCAGGTCAAAATTGAGTATGATTTAGTATTACTAATTTCTCTGAAAGATTATACAGTAGGTAACATTTTAGCCATACAGATAGTTCATCTGAAAAGGAAAAGTTGATTATTTAGATAATTTGATGCAAACAACTGCTTTTTAAACCTCAGACAAAATTTGTTTCCTGAAACATGCTTTTTCTTGCATCTCTGCCTATTGTAATAGGACTTATTGATCATATTAGAATTTATTTTCTTGGGTGAAAGTAAAAGCAAAATGCTCAGAACAAACAATTTCTCTTTTTGACTCTTATGTACTAATGTACTAATTCACACCTCGCTTACATGCTGTATTTATGTCCAACTTAATTTACTCGACTGTTAACTGAACATTAATTATGAACCATTTGATTCCAGAGTGTTTGAAATAACTCACTCTAATTATCTTTGTCTTTTTTGCTTCTTCAGGTTCACAATTCAATCCAGTTGTTCTTGTACTTATTGTGCTGTTGGCGTGCTGTATGACGCTAATTATTTCTCTTATTGTCTACATAAAACAAAAGGTTTTTGGACATTCGGAAGGTAGGTTTTATCATTTACGCAACTCTTCCAAAATCAAAGGCACATGAGTTTTTAATAATTTCAATCAGGGTATTTAAGGTTTGTTTAAATTCAAGCATAATCAAATATCTATACTATTAGAACTATTTTATGTCGTATGTATTAATTTCTTCTCTCCTATTTTATGAACTTGTGCAATCATGTTGATAAAAAATACATTTTCTATGTGACAGTTAAAGCTGGAAATATTTTTCTTTTCAGAAAGGTAGCAGAAGTGGATGTGATTCAGCCTGACATGATGATGATCAGGTTCATGATCATTGATTATGATCCATATCTGCATTAGTGTTAAGTGGGTTTAGAATATAGTGAAGCTTTAGAGAAGGGAAATAATTATATTTAGAAATCTTTTCAATCTATTTTTCTTATGATCTAGTACTGAAGTCTACTATTGAGGGCAGTAATGTTTCACAGAATGTGAGCATATAGGCCCAGATATATATATAGGTTTTAATTATGAACCTTCCTCTTTCATATATATGCGGGTGTGTGTGTGAGTGTGTGCCTTCATAAGTGTATGCCTTTTTTATAATCAGATTAATATAATTTGGAAAACTGAAAGAGTGATTTACTATAGATAAAATTGTACAAAGCCAAAGACAAAAAAAACATTCACTTGTATATTTACAGAACAATACTTTTGTGATAAATTCTGATGAAAAACTGATTTTGTACACTTTCGGGAATCTTAGTTTTAATCTGAGCTCATTCTGACAGCTTTATTTCTGTCACAGGCCCGTTGGGACGACAGAAGCCATTGGGAAACCAACCAAGTGACACAGTAAGTCTGATTGCCATATTGAACCGATTTTAAAGAAAAATACAATTATTGTAATTTTTCAGGACAGTTCAGGCTTTCCTGTCTGTGACAGGTGTTGTGTGACATTTACAGTTATTTTAAAATATTTTACATTTTCTTCCAAATGGTATTAAGTTGTAAAATTAACCTATCACAGTGTAGCTATTACTGATTCATTTTAATTGTAAACTTCATCGTGAGAAAGTGTGATGGTGTTATAAAAAAAGTTTGGTTTACTTCAGGCCTCTGGTTATTGCACACCTTTGCCATTTTGTACCTTTTGTTGTTTTGGTAGTTTTGGTTGTTTCTTATTTGATGTTTCTTGGTACAAAACAATGTTTTCTACCTTGGGATATATATTGATCTGGGATCAGTGATTTATGCAATGTAACCGTGGTCGGCTGCTACAAAATGTGCATTATTAGTTCAATATAACATCTGGGTTTTCACTGTCACTTTAATGTGATTTAGACATTACAGACTTTTTCTCATATAAATGGATCATCTGGGCCAAACAAGGATCAGAACCAAAATAAATCAGAATGCATTGCATATTTCAATTATGGCAAAATTAAATTGCAGTACATGTCCGATTGATACTCTATTGCCATAATTAAACAAAATACCTCTCCACATCAACAACCCCCAAGCTCCCCATCACTTTATTGTGTGACTATACCTTTGAAATGGTTTTGTGACGTAACAAAGTGAAAGTAGGATGGGACAAAATTGCAATACTCAAATTGGGGGTATGAATTGGTGAAACTCAGAACATGACATTAATAATGTGCATTATTATAATAAGTAATGTAAAAAAATTATTATTTGCAGGATGCTCGCGGAGATGAAGCCAATTATGTAGCTCTTAATTTCTCCTCACGGAAGACAAAAGGTGTGAAGAAGAGGATAGAGTCACCACCAGAGTGTGTGTACTCAGGTGTGAGAGGAGCTCAATCCCACGTTGCATGAAGAGCAGGACCTCTGTGTGTAGAGTTTGGACATAACGTGCTTGCATGACTGACAACGTATAAACATTGTGCATTTGTTGGTTTTGCAGCTCTGCATATTTTACGACTAAATTTTTTTAGACCATGCTTTTTGCAAATGTTTTTCTCATATAGTTGGATGATGGTATTAAAAGAACACCTGTGTTTGACATTGTTCAGTAGTGCACTGTGAAAACATTGCATGTTTCTATCAACAATAAAGTTTTTTTTCCAGGCAACCTGTAACAACCTTATTACATTATCCATCCATCCATCCATCCATCCATCCATCCATCCATCCATCCATCCATCCATCCATCCATCCATCCATCCATCATCCATCCATCCATCCATCCATCCATCCATCCATCCATCCATCCATCCATCCATCCATCCATCCATCCATCCATCCATCCATCCATCCATCCCAGGAAGGTCATCCATGTGAAATTAGATCTCTTTATGATATTTGAGAATGACTTCAGAGTTATTCTCTAGTTATACTACATAATACAATCCAGTGATTGACGCTCAGGATTTCTGCATGTTCACTCGTATATTTTGAGATGAACCCAATGGTCCATTTCCTTTGCTCTTCTTGCCCAACTCTGTTGCCAACCCACAGATCAGACATACTGAGAGTAAATAGCCTTAAAAAGTCAGGAAATAGTTGTAAAAATGTTTATTTTTTTTACCTTGTTATATATGAGTTTCATTCTCTTTTTAAACTCAACTTTTCATATTAATGACAAAAGAGCTATTGCTATATGAACATGAAGTTTAATTAGAGATCCAGAAGTAATGTTCATATAGAAAAAAATATATCATTTGTGCTACGTTGTGAAAATGTTTGAGGTACATAATTGTAATGTGTATATTTTCATCTAAATATCAGATTTGAAATCTATTGACTCTAATGAAAATCTATTTCAAATTATTTCTCAGAGAATTTTGGGCAGTGCCTTATCTTTTAGTTTGTTTGTTTTTTAACAAAATTGGCAAAATTGTTTTGGATGTTTTTGTTTTCTAAAACTTGTTTCACCTCAAGTTCACAAACTTCAGTCACACACTGCTTTATTTTCCGAGGGTGTGCACTTCCAACCTTTCAGCCAATCAGAACAATTTGCCTTTTGAACACATTGAAGACCTGAGACAAAAACTTCATTTAGAGAGGAAGGAATCGTCAGTGTGAGTCTTGTGTTTATTGTTTGGTGCCACAATGACCAAAACACTGTCTGCACTGGTTGTTCTCACCATAGCTTGTAAGTACCTCTTTTATTCAATATATTCAAAGTTGGTCGACAATATATAGACGAATGCATTTGTTCAGTTGAAAAGTTATGTGATTGGATTCATTTAACAATTTTAATTATCTTGTTCTCTCTCTTCTTTTTGTTTGTTTTTTTAGCTCTGACTCAAACTAATGAGGTTCCACATCAGATCAATTTGAAAGTGGTTGATGTTGGTGGGGATGTTACTCTGTATTGTCCAGGTTCAAACAAGAAAAGCGATTTCTTCTACTGGTACAAGCAGCCGCTTGGACCTATGCTCCAGACAGTAGCTACATCAGTTTTAGACGAACCAAAACTGACTGAACAATTTAAAAATGATCGCTTTAAATTTACACCAGGAGATTCTCAATACTCTCTTACTATCAAGGATATCAATAAAGAGGATGAAGCAACTTACTTCTGTCAAAGTGGGACTGCTTATTTTCAGACTTTTTCTACAGGGATGTACTTGGCTGTAAATGGTAAGCTCTGTTATTTTACGTCAAACAGATGATTTTGTGTCAGGCAAGATTTTCTTATAATAGTCTAACAATCTGTTTATTTTATTTCACTCTAGATTGTAAAAGTCAAACAGTGACTCATGTCAGACAAACTCCAGAAACAACATCAGTCCAGGAGGGGGACACAGTTAATCTCCGCTGTTCTCTTCTCTCCAGCAGTAGAGAAAACACCAATCATAATCCATCTGATTACAATGTGTACTGGTTCAGAGCTGGATTTGGAGAATCCCGTCTGAGTTTTATTTATACTCAGAACAACAGCTATGATGCTTGTAAGAGTAGCTGTGTCTTCCAGCTGTCCAAAAGTATACATAACTCCTCAGATACTGGGATTTACTACTGTGCTGTGATCACATGTGGAAACGTCTTGTTTGGAAAAGGAACTAAAGTAGAGATGAGTACGTATAATAAATTAGATGCACTTTGAAACACTAACCTGTTTTCTTAGTTTCATTGTGTTCTAGATATAGAATAATAGTTAGTGTAATCTAAGTCATAAAATTTGTTTAATTTACAAAATATGTATTTATTAACAATTCCTTATGCAAGTAAATTTGCTTATTAGAAACATATTTTATAAATTAATTGAAACTTAACAAATATGATATCTATGTATTTATTTATTCACATATTTATTTATCTCTTTTGCAAGGTAAACCTTCGGAACCTGTTCTAATTGTCTTGGGTGTGCTGTTGGGGCTTTGTGTGATTGTGATTTCAGTTCTAATATTCTCCAGAGATTAGAGGTAAGATTATACTTTTGTTTCTAAATTGTTATAGTTTATTACAAAACCTTTAGCTGGTAAAACATCTGCTGAATTATTTGAGAATTAAAAAGAAATACTTGAGTTTGCACTGATTTAGAATATTTCTACTTTTATATCTTTTTCTAATTTGGTCAACTAACACGGCGGGTTGTGAAACAAGGATTTTCATTGTCAAGTGTATTAATTTGCTTATACAAAACTTGCAATTTTTTGTTGCTATATTTTGAAAACTCACATTCAGCCATTTGAAATATGTCCCATATCATTTGTTCTCCAATTCTGATATTTCTTGAAACAATTGTTTTAAGGCTCCAAATAGGAATCTGCTGACTGAGTTTTTCTACGCTGCAAGAAAAAAGACATGGCGGATTATCATCTATCAACAAGTACAGACTTTAATTTTTGAGAAGACAATATCTATTCTAAGTGTATAAAATATTCAAAACATTTCTTGTAAGTTTTCTTTGTGTTTAGATTTGTAAAGAAGACAATAGAAACTTTTTGCTCTAATGTTACAAGATGTTTTTTTAGACGTGAGACTGACTCGCCACTGTATAATTGTTCTTTCTATAATCTTACCTACTAATGTTTTTTTTTTCTTAGAATGATCTGTGTTTATTTTTTTTCCTGAATTATTGCATTATTTCAACTGCATGCATAACATGCTGTTGAAAAGGTATTTATGTGATTTTTTTATATATAATTATATAATATTTTACATGCTGTTTCTACACTGTGATTAAATATTTGTTCATGCTACTTTCATGTTGCAATGGTGAAATACATGTAATACTTATTAAAATGGGGTACATATTAGCTACATTTCCAGTAGAAGCAGTTCCAGCTTGTTTCTTAATTCACAATATGAACAGTGGTTCAAACATAGTATACACATAATCAAGCATTTTTAAACTACAGAATATGTAAAGACTTTCACACCAAAACAGGTTGTGATTCCTAACTGACATGAAATTGACAAATATCTCAGTAACCAGGTCAAAGTAAATATTTGTTACTCCATAAAAGCAAGGAAAATGTCAGTTCCAAAAATTTACTCACATATTATTAGGACGTAAGGTTTTATACATTGTGTACGTTAGAAGTAAGATAATAGACTTTAGTGCTATGGTGTGTAAATAAAAATGTAACCTGGAACAACTATCTTGTTTTCCTTCTGCTGTATTTTATGACTACTGGATCATTTTGAACTTTGAACCCAATGTGTTAAACATAGACTGAGTGCCCCCTTTTGGCCTAGCAATTTCTGAACCGTCTGTTTTTTCTTTCCTTGTAAAACGTCTTTGATTGTTGTAAAATGGCTATATAAGTTAGATTATTATTATTATTATTATTATTATTATTATATTATTATTATTATTATTATTATTATTATTATTATTATTATTATTATTATTATTATTATTATTATTATTATTATTATCGGCTTTTGACATCCAACATTAAAGAAGAGATTCTGTGATAAATATAGTTTTTATTTTCCTTTTGGGAGATTCAGGTTAATATGAAACACCTCGAAAATTACACACACAAAAAACAGATAAAAAAATACCACGATGTTCAATGAATACTCCTACCTCATCATAATACAATAGAGCTGCTCCACTGTATGGATTGAAGAAGTAAAACTGACTGAATAATTTGTTTACATTTGACCAACATCAGCTCCTCTCCACAGAGTGGAACTTAGAAAGGATGCAGATGTTTGTTTTAAAGCTCTAGCTTCTGTAAATATGGTAAGTTTATTTGAACAGAAAACAATATCTTTCATATGATTAAAATGAAACTAAATCCATTGTAATAATATAACCCCGCCCATGACTTTAACAATTTCATCAAAGTGAATAGACACTTTAGGACAAGTGTGTGGATGAGCAGTGAAGATGTGGTCAGGATGGGGAAAAACAATGTTGCCAGATAATCTACTTTGTTACTATAATTAGCAACTTTTCAGTCCCCATTAACTTTCTTTCAACTAGTTTATTTTCAGAAAAAGAAATTAGTGACTTTACTCTGTTAATTAAGACTTATAAAAGCACCAATTGGAAAACCATGAGCTCTACTTAAGAGAAGCTGAATCTCATCATGGTCAGATCGCAAGGTAAATCATCTCACAGGGGTGAAGTTTATGTTTCAGAACATAAACTTCACACCAGTTTTGTTCATGTGATCAACACATGTTGCTGTGAAAGCAACAACTGCAACAAAATATTTGCTGTATTGCAAGTTCAGAGGTGTATTTTAAGTGTAAACTTCTATATCTATGAAAATTTGGGTAGTGCCTTTATTTGTCTTTTTGTTTTATATCAAAATGAAGACATTCCTATTTTCTGAAATTTTTGTTTCACCTCTGTTTACTTAATTCGATCATAGATTGGCTTATTTTTGAAGGGAGTGGACTTCTACCTTTTTAGCCAATCAGAACTATTTGCTCTTTGAACACATTGAAGATCATAAGGCTAAACCTTCATTTAGCGAGGAAGGAATCAGTTGAGTTAGACAGATGTTTGTTTTGTATGTTTTGTATTTTTATTTATCATAATGGCCAAAACACTTTCTGCTCTGTTTTTTTTCACTGTGGCTCGTAAGTACCAACTTTATTCAGTGTGTTCACATTTATTAGATTACAAATTCAGAGTTTCTTTTCAGTACAGCTAAGCTTTGTAAAGTTATGCAATAGGCTTTGTTTGACAATTTTAATCATCTTCATTCTTTTTTCAGGTCTGAGTCAAAGTAATGAAATTCCTCATCAGATTGCTTTGAAACTGGCTGAAGTTGGCGGGAATGTTACTCTGGAATGTCCAGTTTCAAAGAAGGAGCGCAAATTCATCTACTGGTACAAGCAGCCGCTTGGACATATGCTCCAGACAGTTGGTTCAGGAAGTGAACGAACCTAAACTGAGTGAACAATTTAACAACAGTCGCTTTAATTTAACAGCAGAGATTCTCAGAACTTTCTTACTATCAAGAATATCAGTAAAGAGCAACATATTTCTGTCATAGTGGGACTGCTTATTTTCACAGTTTTGCTGCAGGGATATACTTGGTTGTAAACGGTAAGCTCTGTTGTTTATTCAAAGATCATTTAGAACAGACAAGATTTTCATATAATAGTCTTTATTATCAATCTGTTTATTTTTCCTGCATCCTAGATAGTGGAAGTCGAACACTGACTCTCGTCAGACAAACTCCAGAGACAACATCAGTCCAGGAGGGGGACACAGTTAATCTCCACTGTTCTCTTCTCTCCAATACGTCTGTAAACTCTGGTCAATGTCCAACTAAAAACAATGTGTACTGGTTCAGAGTCGGATTCGGAGCCTCCCATTCAAGCTTTATTTACACTAACAATAGCAGCTGTGATGCTCAGCAAAGGAGCTGTGTCTACCGACTGTCAAAAGCTATACAGAGCTCCTCAGACACTGGAATATACTACTGTGCTGTCGTCACATGTGGGGAGATCCTGTTTGGAGAAGGAACTAAAGTAGAAACAAGTAAGTCAAATAAATTGTCTTTATTTTCAAAATATACTGTTTTCATAGTGAGACTACATAACACATGTATTATGTTCAAATTATTGATAGTCAATAAACAGCTAAAAGTTGTGTTCAGAAATTGATACATTTATTTGAAATAAGTACAGAGTATATAACATTTTGGAGTTTACAATTATAAATAGTTCATCTGAATAAAAAAACACAAGTTGATTATTTAGATTATCGGGAACTGAAAAATGTTTTTTTGTCGATTTTTTTTTCCTCAAGCATGTTTCTGCTGGGTCAAATTAGAATAGCTTTGTTTGGTTTAAATCAAAAAAACAAATACCTGGGATAAATACACAATTTTATTTTTTCTCTCAATTCATAAATTCACACTTAAATGATACGATGTTCTTATATCCAGCTTTATTTGCTAAACATGAACAATAGACATGAACTTTTAGATCTCAGTGTTTGAAGTAACTCGCTGTAATTATTACTAATACATACATGGCTAAGAGTCTCTTATTTGATTTTTTTGTTCCTTCAGGTTCATATCTCACCACAGTTGTTCATGTACTTAGTGTGCTGTTGGCGTGCTGTGTGACACTAATTGTTGCTCTTATTGTCTACATAAAGCTTTTTGTTGGACATCGTGAAGGTAGGTTTGACATAAATTGTAAAACTGTTACAAAGTTAAAGGTACATGAGATCATAAATTATTTTTTGTTTAAATTCAAACATATACAAATGTATGCTTTTACATTTATTTCAAGTTTTTACTCAGCACTCTGTGATAAATCATGCATGAATTTATTATCTCCTATTTTAATAGATTCTGTAAAATTTTTTGATGCTCTGCAAAGATTCTGAACAATGTCTTTTTCCTTTCAGAAATCTGGTTTAGCATGAGTTTCTAATTCTGTCTATGGCAAAAAAGTAGGAAATCAGCAGCTACTTAGTGTGAAGTGTGCAGAATAAACTTTTAGAGAAGGGAAACATTTGAATTTACAAGTTTCATAGACTTAATAACTGAATTTGCTACTGAAAATGAACTATTTATTTGATGGAATAACACAGATTGGGGTTAAGTACTGCAATCATTTAAAAGCATCATTGTTTGACAGCCATGTTCATCCACTGCATTTGGCTAAAGATACCTGTTAAAATAAATTCTCCTGGGTTTTATAAATTATGATCCTTCCTCTTTCCTGGCAAAAGATGAATTTTAGACCATATTTATTGCATCTAAAAAACAGTTTTACATTTTAATTTAGAAAATTCATTCTTCCTTTGGTGCACATGCATATATTGGGTTTCATGTAAAGGTTTCTCTGCAACTCCTGCCAAAATTTGGTTTTCGTGAATCACTAATAGTGCGTTGAGATCTAGTTTTGACGTTCAACGATCTAAGCCAGCAACTGCCAGAGCAGTCCAAAATATCTTCCGCTGAATCTTGTATTTACATATAAGAAAGGACAATAATAGTTTTAACTATATCTATATATCTATCTCTCTGTTTGTCCAGTCAGACAAGGGTAGATGGTAAAAAAAGAATGGTAGCCACATGTAGATTTCAGCACGTATTCCTGTTTTGCTTGTTGTGGCATGGTTATTGTGTGTAAATATGTGAAAAACTATTGTTGCAGTTAAAATCATGAAAATATACATATAATATACATATAATATACATATAGAAGAAACACCATTCATTCAGTTTATTGCAAAAGTAGAGTAGATATTTTTTTGTATTAAAAGCAGTACTCTTCTTTTATAATAAAAAAAAACAGAATTCTGCTTTTGTAATAAATCCTAAAAGAGCAGTTTAGTAATAAAAAGTTGATTTTGCAAGTTTTAATTTCAGCTCTTTCTGACAGCTTTACTTTTTCTTGACAGGGGCAGATACCGGCCCATCTGGACAATGCGAGTCATCGAGGAACCAGGCAGGAAACACAGTAAATCTCTTATTACCACATTGCACCAAATCAGAAAAATATATACGCTTAATGTCATTTTTCCCGATTCAGCAGAATTCTGACATCCCTGTCTGGTGCAGCTGGATCGTCAAATTTACAGCTGCAATAAAATATTAAATATTTTCTTCACAATTGTTGGGTCATTTTTAAATGACCCCAACAATGAAAGTGTATATTACTAATTAATTTTAATTGTCAACTTTATGGTGAGCTAGTGGGATGGGATTATAAAAAACAATGAATTATTGAAAGTACAAATAATTGGTTTGCATGCATTTACCATGTTATACCTTTGTAGTTTTGGTTGTTTGTTATCTAAAGATTTTGGGTATGAAAAAGTGTTTTCCAGCATGGGCTGATTTGTATCGACCAAGCAGGAGTGTGTTCTTGTTAAAGATCAGTAATTTCTAGAATTTACCCATAGTGTTCTACTATGTAATGTGCATTTATTAGTGCAATAAATAACATCCAAGTTATTCACTTTTGCTTTAATGTGGTCTAGATATTATGATAGATCCATATTATATTGCAAGTCATCAAGCTCAAACTGGGATCAGTAAAATGAATTTCATTATATGTTAGATTAGTTGAAATGTATCAAACCTAACGCAAAAGACATAGGAGTAGACAAAATGGCAATACCCAAATTAAAGGTATGAACTTCATTTGTTCATACTCTTAACAAAACTTAAAAACTTACCTGGAGCCAAATGTGCATATTGATAATAAATAATATTAAATTATTATTCGCAGGATGCTCGTGGAGATGAAGCCAATTATGTAGCTCTTAATTTCTCCAGAAGGAAGACAAAAGGTGTGAAGAAGAGAATAGAATCACCACCAGAGTGTGTGTACTCAGGTGTGAGAGGAGCTCAATCCCATATTACATGAAACGTCTTGGAGCAGGACCTGTGTGTGTAGAGCTTGGACACAGCATGCTTGCAGAAAATTAACATTGTGCATTTGTTGGTTTAAAAGTTTTGTAAATTTGACTATGTAAGTTTTTAACCATGCTTTTTGCAAACATTTCTTATATAATTAAACATAAAATGTCTTTGTACAAAAATCGTTCACAATAAAGGCTTCACAATAAAATGGATCCATTTGTACTTTGTTCTGTAAAATATAAAATATGTAAACTTACTTTGACGTACATTTCAAAAAGATCCTTTGTTTTGCACAATGAAGTGACCTCTGATGTGTTTGTGTGAACAATCGTATTTCACCCATTTCCCGTATGGGTAAAGTTCAGATTACATAATTTACACATTAAGCAGTACATAGTACGCCCAACAGAATAAACCTTCATAGAGGCAAATAAGATGATGAACAAAGACATCTGGAATGATGTCCACTAGCTCAACATGACATGTTTCACACATTCACACCTCCAGTAATGCTCTTTACTTCCTGTTGTGTCACACCATTAAGGGCCATAGTTTCATAGCCAGAGAGATGACAGAATGGAAGAAGTGTCGGCTCAGCACAGTGTCGGTGCAGACCTGTTTGGGCTGGAGCAGTGTTTTGGGTAATACTGTGCATAAAAACTTGTACTGGTAACTTTGTTATGATGTAAAAATCCATTGGGTGCTATTGGAATATTTGTGAAAATAGATCAGTTGCATCTCAGATGTGTTTAAAAAGTAAATCTGTAATTAAAGCTCCTAATACCAATAACACACTAAATAAAAAAAGCATCATTCAGGCATTTACATATTTATATTATTGTTTTATATTGTCAGATGAAAATAAAAACAAATCTATAGAGAAGTTTGGTAAAGAATCTAAGGTATCATGCTGGCCTTTGCAGATCCTATGACTTCATGCACTGAACTTATTGATAAAATGTCTGAAAAAGCTGGACATAAATTACAAATATCTTTTGAAGTAGTAGACTTTTGTTTGTTAAAAATGAATTGCAAATACAATCAGTCAGTGTAAATAACCTTAATGTATATAGTTCATTCATTGTATTAAAAAAGGAACATGCAAACTTTCATCAAATTTTATTTAAACACTTTAATAACAAACAGAAAGCAGAATATTTCTTCTTTATGGTTTCACTTTTCTAAATTAGGGGAAAAAAAGCATGATTAACAACTTTCAGTATTTTATCCATTTTATTGCTACTTTCACAAGTGGCATATTCTACTCTATCAGTTTTATGAGAACGGCTCTTTTAAATATTCAGTTTGAGAATGCCTTGATTTCAAAAGCTAATTTAACAGATCAGTATTGTGATCAGACTAGTACAGTGTGAATTTAAGTGTTTTGATATGTATTACTTTATGTTATAATGAAAATTACATTACGTAGAGCTATACATTAAGTGGCACATTGACTATAGTGGGCTTCCCGTATCCAGAGGCTGCAGACATTGATGCAGTCATCCTTCTCCTTTGGCCTGTCCTTTCACATTTCTGAAACAAAAGCCACCAGTGCCAGAAAAAGATTTTGAAAAAACAAACATACAAAAGACAGCACTGAAAGTTAGTGGTATTAGTGGTCACGAGAGAAAGTAGGGCTGTATAGGGCCTCCTGCTCCAGCTATGTGGTTCTTGATTAAAAAGAACCACATGCTGAAAATAAGTAATTCTTTGTTTTTATTTTTTTTTCTCTTTTAGCTAGTTGCTAAACTAAAGCGAAGCTACACCTAAAGAAAACCACATGTTAGGAAATGCTAATGGGAGCTGAAGTAAGCGATGACACAATACCCTCTTTGGGGCAAAGCTCAGAGAAACAAAAAAAGGCAGCATGTCAGAATGGACCAGCTGTATTTTGGTATAATAAATGGAGTTTATGAATTCAGCTCACTGACTCTTCCTTAGCTTCCTACATCACAAACTCAGCATGGAGAACCAATAAATCTCTGCACTTGTTATTCTACTCCTAATGGTTTTAGAGCACCAAAGATTTTCTCCCTGTTTACTGCTTTTGCATCTTTTTCTTCTTGTCTTGTATTTTTTATTATGCCAAAGACAACGGTGGAGTAAATCCGTTTGTCCACTTCTTTCTGCAAAAAAATAAAGACAACTCTTTCATTTCAGAGATAGATTTAAATAACGCCATTTTTTTCAACTTCGTAGAATTCACAATCATATCGGTTCCTGAACACCTTTTATTACAGCCAGAAGTGAAAGGGCTTGAAACAGATGGACAGAAATAGAACCAATGAAACTACTAAAGAAACACACATTAGTAGTGATTAGTAATAATGTTATTATGAATAATAAAAATGTATTTAAATTTCACTCTTTTAAAAAAAGGTCAAACCAAGGACTAGGTTTGCAAATTAGCCTGTGGCTAGATAACCGATGTACAAAATGATGGTTACTCTGTTGTTGGCTTGTAACATTATTTAATTTGCTGTCCTTGAGTAAATACATTTGAACTGAACTGAAAAGAGACAAATCAGGGAATAGCTGGGAATCAGCAGAAACCCAAATCATATGGTTTAGCATGGAAATGATGTATATATGTATGTCAGTAAATAATATATGTTTTTTGAAAATATTACCTTTTGTTTCTGCTTTTCGACTTTTCCTTGTGAACAATTATCAACTGTAAAATACAAGAGGAAAACTCACAGATAAAATAAAAATAATGATAAACAGATACCAAAGCTTGATTATGAAATTAGTTGTGACAATGTATGCTGTCTTACCTTTCCAAAAATCTCCTTTTGTCCTGATAATGGTAATAACAATGGCAAAGCTACTTACTGCCACAAGAGTACACATCAGAAGCAGGCCATCATTTGGCCATCTGTCGCCATCTTACACATAAAAATATAACCCATAAAAACTACTTTTATTTTACAGTAATTGAAAGCAATTATGTAATACATAAATAAATATGTGTAATCCACAGAAATTTATTTTAGTATATTAACTATTATACTCTTACCTTTGACTTCAATTTCAAGTTTGGTTCCATTTCCAAATATAATCTCCCCACACATGGCCAGTGCACAGTAGTAAGTCCCACTATCATCAGAGCTGACATTCTTTGAGAAGTGATAAACACATCTTTTTGAATCGGATGATGTGTCTGGTTTCTTGTCACAACTGTAAGACAAATTTTGATCTGTATAGATGACGCTTCCAAGGAAAGTGTCTTTTCTGATGCCAAACCAGGACACCCTGCGTTCACTTGGACAGGATCCAGTCTGGGAATGAGGGAGGACTGAACACTGGAGGGTAACCGAGTCCCCAGGCTGAAGTGGGGCAGATACAGCTGGCCACTGAACAACAGTGTAGTTTAATGATCTTGTATTTATGTCTAGAAAACGTGAGAGTAAAAATAAGTTCAGAAATTGTTTGAGTAATTGCCTCATTCAGACATGGAATAAGTCTTAAAAAATGCATTACCTTTCAAAGACAAATAAGTCCCAAACCACTCATCTGTTTTCCAGGTAGATACCGCACAGTGGTACAGGGCTTCATCGTCTTTAAAAGTTTTGAAGATAGTCAACGTGCTCTTGAATGTGGTGTAGTTTGCAGCAAACCGTGAGGGAGAAAATCCTTGCTCAAATGATGGGTGGGCAGTTGATTTCATCAGGGTTGTTATCAATCTTAGAGTATCTCCATTAGTCTGCTTATACCACTTTATTCGAGTGTTACTGTAGTCCGAATCAGAAAGCCAACAAGTAAAGGTTACAGGTTCACCTAGTTGGCGTGTGGTCACTGATATTAGTGTATCTGCATAATCCAAAAATAATTACCATTAATAATGGATAAAAACAGTTTTTATTGTAAAATAAACTTAAATTCCTGCTTTTGTTTATTAAAACAAAATCAAGATTTTAGCTGAATAATGTGAGTAATACTTACCTCCTTGACCAAGAAAAATCAAAACAATCCACATTTGCATCATCCTGATGGAGTGAAACTTGTTAGTGGTTCGTGGTGGACGTGATATGTCCAACTGCCTGATGAACTCGCATGATAGCCGATTTTATAACTTCATTTCCTGTCCCCATGCTGGTGCCTTCTGCATGTCAGCTTTTTGAGGTTTTGTAGTCTGTTTTACAATGTGTCAAAACAACCATATCAACCATATCCCTTTAACAAAAGGGTGATACACTAGTTTAAAATAATTTCAGGAAAACTGAAAAAACTGCTCCTTTTATGTTGGACATAAAGTTTTTCTTTATATATATATAAAAAAAGAAAATAGCATTTGCTTTTGCCATTGAAAACATTGCAATTGTGCTGAAATATTTTTTATCTTAATGTATAGCAAACATGTTTGGTAGAATTCAGATTTTTTTTTATTTCATCTTCTTAGATCAAATATCAGAATTTTTTATTTCTTTTTTTTTTTTCAGTGGCCCTGCTTATATTTCGTAGACTATGAAGTATTGTGCTGCCGGTTAAAATGTTATCATTTTGATTAATTGGTGTTTTATGACATGATGCATTTGAAAAATAACTCTTCTGTAAAAGTTCCATAGATTTGTGTGTAATTTTTCTTCATATGGATTTTGTATAAAATGTAAATACCAGATAAATACCAGACATTAAAGTAAATGTATCTTGACTTGAAAAGAAATAACAGTGCATGTGCATCACGAGAATTTAAAACCCACAGTGGTTACAGAATCAGTGAAATTATGCTTTGTATGTGCTTTGCTAACCTCAGGATGCTGGATGCTTGAAACACAAGTTGGAAATTATGGTATAATTAGGTGTACTAGTAATTTTCCAACCCTTATAGGGGACAGTGCTAGAACTGACTAATTCTCCAATTAGTCAGTTGCTCTTGTAATTTATAAAACAAAATACATGGAAATGATGGATTCATGGCAAGCAACATACTCGGTTCTGACACAGTTAAAAACAAACAACACAATACACACACCTGCTCTACACATCTATAAATCAATAGATTTATAGATGTGTATGAAAGTAGCATTGGAGGAATCGAAGCTACCCACTTCAGTTCCCCACCATGAAGTTATGTAACGTTTCTTCATGGGGATACATGACAAGATAGCACCGATATGCTAGCAACTTAAGAGTGAAACTATTTCATTTCTAAAACTGCTCAGCCACCCCTTCTGCACCCCACCCCCAAAAACAGGTACAAAAGCTCAAAACGCTTTGTGTTGTCTCTTTCCAAGAAACGATTTTGAACCGTTATTTCCTGACATCAAAAAGCGATGGCCACTCTCATACTGAAACCACAACTATTTTAAAATGTTGTCTTAATTCAGACATTTTTTGCAAGGTAACTTAGAATTATAGGGGTTCTTATGAATGTATGAAGACATTTTGCATAAAAATTTTCTAGATTCTTACATTTAGGTCGAGACCTTTACACTGCCACCTAAATTTGATACATACAGTTTTCCTGACCTGCAAGTCTACACAACAACTTACACAGTATACTTCAAAGTATATTGAAAATATATCTTTCTGTAAACCACAGAAACACCATTAATGGTGATGATCATTCAGTAATTTGCTATTGCATTTTATTATCTTTTCTTCCAATTGCTTTCTTGGGTTAGCTTCTTGAACATATATGCCAACAAAAACTAATATTGAGAATGAGATTTAACACTTTTTACACACCAGCCAATTCTTTAGGTACACTTGTTTATTTGTTTTTTAAACAGAAATTAAATGAATCAGTCAATAAAAAGGTGATAAACCAATCCCTTTATTGGAGCAATTAATATGGTCTTACTTGAGCATAATTTTTGGGAAGTCTCTGCAAGTATCGTCATCCCACGAATTCAGATGAAGATTTCTGCATGCTATGCAGCCAACTTGCTGAAGTTCAACTGTTAAAACCATTGTGCTATTCTGAGTATTGCAGGAACTGTTAATCTACTGTGGTTTTCACACACAACTCATCTGTTGAGTTTGCTAAGAATGGACAAAAAAAAGAAACAAGGCATGTTGAATATCTCTTCTTGACACACAACATGCCAGACGTTGAACCAGATGAGTGACAGCAATAGAGGACCACAAAAAGTGCTATTCCTGTCAGCTTAAGACAAAAACCTGAGGCTTTGGTTGACACAGGCTAACACAAATTGAACCACAACACTTTTTAAAAAAAGGTTCCCCGATAAAATGAGCTGTGCTATTTGATAGGAGTTTCACATATCAGCATAAATTATACAAAGGTATGGATCCATTCTGATTACTGTCAACCATTTAGGCTGCTTCTGGTGGTCAAATGGTTTGGGAAATAGATTTTTATCAAACTTTCTTTGTGAAAACTTGAATCTGTTGCACTAACTAAATGCCATAAGTTTAAACAATGGAGCCTACCTGAATTTTGATGCTGACTATCTCCTATTTCCTATGACTACAGTGTGCACTTCTTCTGATGGCTGCTATAAGGAGGATGATGGCCCATGAAACAAGGGTCAAAGCCTTTCAAACTTGTTTACTGAACTTGCTTTGCAGTCATCAGTTCCAAATAAAATGAAAATAAGGAAAGGGAGATTCACATTATATATTTACAGCTAAAAAATCTACAGCAACTGCATGACATCATCCAAATAAGTAAGAAAAATCAGTGATTATAAGAGTATGATAAGAAATTACATTTTTAAAACACGTTTCTCTTGTTCAGTTAGTCATTATGAGAGCATCATGTTGATGACTTCTTTGGGAAAGCCCCTTTAAAGAGCTTAAAATAGTGCTTGAACACTAGACTGACATGAAATAGCTTGCATTCTTTTAATAAACACTGCTTCATCTCTCTCTTCTCGACCAGGTTTTTTCTATGTGTGACCTAACTTCTTAACAGTTTTACTGACATCCTGTGGTTGTCTTCATATCTATTTTCCTCCAAATCCAGAATTAACTTATTTTTCTTGTTGCCATTCATTGTCAGATGGTTTATTATCACCATTTGTAGCATCAACAAATTGTTTATTATTAAAGGTAATAATGGACATTTTCAAAGCAATTTAAATTTAATGTTGATTAAATTTTCTTTTCTTAACTGAAGTGTTAAAAAAGCAGGCAGTAAATTGTCAGATTTAACCTTAAAAGGACAATCAGAGAAATAAGTGTCAAACTACTGGTATCCAATTATATGTATAACAAAATGATTCTCACATATACTCATGTCAATCCAAAAAGAAATAAGAATTGTTTTGAATGACATGTCATCAAGTTCGTCTTCAGGTTGTAAGTCAGATGACGCTGCTATTCATACCCCAAAGTCCGGACACCAGCATAGATGCTTTGTCCGCACGCTGCCTTTGTATCTCTCTTTCCTTTTTACTCAGCCTTTTTCTTTGCAAAAATTGCCACAGAATAAATCAAACCATCTTCATTTGTCTGCAGGAAGGAAAAAAAAAAAACATTACGATGGAGAAAACTCACAAGATTTGCTTTCCAACTCAGAATATTCCAAACTTACTGCCTGACTTTGTTGGGCTGCAGCTATTTCAGAATCTGCAGCATCTTCTGTGTTATATGTAGAGAAAACACAAAGAACAGGAAGGTATATATATATATATATATATATATATATATATATATATATATATATATATATATATATATATATATATATATATATATATATATATATATATATACTGTTATATATATATATATATATATATATATATATATATATATATATATATATACTGTTATATATATATATATATATATATATATATATATACATATATACACAAGATAGTAACTGCATTAGAATAAGATTTTAATACCAGTGGCGCCACTCCTTAGTTTCTTGTTGGTATGATATAGTCGGACAATAACTGTCACAGCGATAGTCAGAGCAGCACACAGCAGGACAATGAACATAATGATCCCAATAGAATGAGAGACAAATAAAGATCCTGAAAATTAAAGCAGAAGATAGTAAGGTCCATTGAGCAAAAACAAGAAGTGTGACTTAATTTTAAGGTTCTGTCATAACTATGGAACACATTTCACTTTGATTATTAAATAATTACTGAACAAAAAAAAGTTTAAATGACACATTGGTAATAATACCTTCAATTTCCAGTTTTGTCCCTTTTCCAAACAGTAGGTGCCCACATGTGACCACGGCACAGTAATATGTTCCCGCATCAGAGGAGCTGATATTGCTTAATGAAAAGTTGTGGACACATATCCTCACAGATGGGGTCTCAGGGATCCTCTCACATTTACTTGCAGATTTTCCATGAACATAAAGTTTACTGGTATGAGATTCATCGAAGTTGGCTTTGAACCAATGGACACTGTGATGATCTGAACTTGCAAGGTCATCAGATTCCGACTGAACCAAACACTGAAGAGTCACAGAGTCTCTTTGGTGGACTGGAAGCAATGGGAGCTCTTGAACAACAGTGGTAATTTCAGCTTCTGCTCCTGAGAGATAAAACGCAACAATACATTATTTTCAAATTGAATTAATTTTTGCAACCTACATTTTTTTCCTACAGAGAAACGTATAAAAACTGAAAGCTGAGCATCATTGAGATAATTGTTCCAATTACCTTTAACTTTCAAAAAAGTAACATTCCAAAGGGTTTTATGTAGCTCCAATATTTCCTCACAGTAGTAAAAAGCAGTGTCTTTCAACTCTGTTTGCTTTATATGGAGAAGAAAAGTTCCTGGTTCTTTTTTTGTTGTGATGCGAGGTGTGGGATCGACATTGATGCCACCAAAAGTATAAGTTGCTCCTAAGACTACAGGCACATTTCCAGCAACAACTTTCATCCAGAAAAGGTAACCTGATGAATTACGTCTCCAGCTGCATGTTAGGGTGACATCTTCTCCAACAGAAACAGTTTTTGTTGTATATTCTTGTGTACATCCTGAAGGACAAATTAAATTAAACATCAATATAAAATACCAAGATAATTTAAGGTTTACAGCCATACTCACGTCCAATTGGAAAGAGAAGAAGTGTATAAAGTATGATCATCATTGTTCGGGTATTTCACGGTAGGTATCTGATTATTTAGATCTCGTAAACATATTATGAAGCTGAATGTGGCTATGTAGAATGGGAGGGGACCCAGATATGGGAGGAGGCTGCTTTTGTTTTTTTAATAATTGATCTCTTCTTTGTTTTTTGCAAATGATGACACGACAGCCTTTCCTTTCCATTACCTTTACTTGTGAATCAGTATTAATAGTTTTTTATGTAAACACGAGTCAAACCTATGTTCAACAGAGTAGTGACTCATGGGCCTCATCGGTCAACTTTATTTAAATTTTATTTTAAATAATTCTGTCTTTGATCTGTGGAGATTTATCTCTTGCTGAAAAGGAAAAGTAAGGGTAACATTCAAATATTAAATGCTATGCACTTAACAAGCTTTGTTTGACAAACTATTAAAGTTTCAATGAGATTAATTGCATTATTAAAGCACATCATCTGATATTACAACAGGTTCCTAAGCATAGAACCATTAACCATATTTAATTCTCATATTTTTTCCAAACAAAAAACTAGAAATAGGGACTTCTTTTAGTAGCAGTCAATTCATTCTTGCAAGAGCTGTTAATGAATGTGTTGCATCAAGCATGTTAAAATATTGTGGCCAACATTCTTGGGCCCGATTGTTTTTGTGGCATTCATGAAGATGTTTGAGCACCTCAGTTTTGTCCTGATGTCTTCCTACTACAATGTTTTTGAATTACAAGGGAATAAGTGCTCCAATTCTAATTCTCAAAAGAACTGCAGTATTTTTTTTCAGCAACAAATTTCATCCAGAAGAAGAAACTTGACCAATTAGATTGTAAGTTGCATATTAGAGTGACATCTTCTCCAAAGGAAACTGTTTTTGTTGTATATGCTTATGTGAATCCTGAAGTAAAAAAGAAAAGAAAAATATCAAAGCCTTTTGTAGAATTTTAAAACAGTAAAACAAAGATGACATGAGCAACAACACACCTTCTATATGAAAAACAAAAATCACAAACATGTAAAAAGTTTAAAGCCTTTCGAAAAGGATTTATCCTGGAAGCCACAGGTGTCAGTCTCCAGTCCTACATGGCCACTGCCCTGCAACTTTTAAATGTGCCTCCATTGCACCACACCTGAATAGAATGATTAGGTTATTAGCAAGGCTGTGGAGAACTTATCTACACAAGAAGGAGGTAATTAAGACATTTCATTTCAGTGTTTTGTAGCTGTGAGAAATCTAAAAACTGCAGGACAGTGGCCCTTGAGGACTGGAGTTTGACAGCCTTGCCTTAAGCAATATATTTTTTTTAAGTAAAATTCATTATTTTTAAATCATTTTTATTATAAATTTTCAGAGGCTTTGATTAAACATTATTTCACTCTGTTATGTGTTACACTGTTTCTCTGAAAGCTTAGAGACTTTTAGGCCTTCCAAATTTCATCTGTGACCTTCTGTTAACAAGGCATGACATGAAAAAGGTCATATCTCCTTGATGTGCTGCCATCTGGTGGTAGACAGTTGAATTAATTGTTACCTTTCAGTAATTCAACTGAAAACATACAGCTCATATACAGATTCTGAACACTGTATTTCAAGTGTTTTTTATTTCACTGCTTACAGCAAATGAAAACCTGAAAGTTTTTTAGAAAATTTTAATGTTATAAAAAACGAATGAAAAGGATTTCAAAGAATAGAACTGCTATTTAATGTTTAATGAGGAATCATACTAAGTGCGGCCCAAACTTTTCCTTATGATGAAAATCATAAAGAGTTCAATTAGCTTTAAAAACTGTGTTCAGTCAGCTGGACATTGGGAGCCAGGCCTGAAGGTGGTGCAACGGGTCAGGTGGGATGGAAAATGGCTGAAATCTATCTGGTGTTTTGACTTTTATGCCACCAACATGTAGAGGGCATAAGATGTTAATAATAATATATCTGATTGGGAAGAAAATATACGTGCAAATATGTTTTTTTTTAAATAAGATGCAATTATTCTGCTTTCTCCTTGTGACTACAGATACAGTGTTTAACCCATCAACTCCAAAACCTCTAAAACACTGAACTTCAGAAAAAATATATGTCAACAAAGTCTTTGAATAAATCAGTCATTAAGCCTGACATGTTAGTATTGTTTTGACTAGCTCCAAAATAAGTCACTTGGTAATGTTATTGAGCAAAAAGTACCCAAAGCTAAATGTTCTGTAACTGGAAACTCAACTATGATATTTTGTATTAAAAAAATCTGACAAGAAAATCTAAAAATTAAATAATTTAATTAAACATTTAATACTGTGCTTATTTGGGATCCGCAAATTATTGAATATTTTAAAAGAGAACTTCATCTTACTGAAACTATATCTCACTGAAAGTGGCAACAGGTTGAACATTTTGCTAGGATTTCCAGATACTTAATAAACCCAGTATGTTCTCAGAAAAACTCATAACTTTTTCTATGATCTGATACAGTCCAGGTGGAAATATTAGTTTTCTATCCTAAAAATGTCGTATTTTCTGAATAGCTTTATTTTAATGTTAGACTGTAAGTCATGTTAATATTGTTTTATTAATAAATAGTCACAGAGAAATACAAATTTAGAACTTTTTTTTTATTTAAAAAGGCACACAAGCCCAGTGGATCTAATTATCAAAAACAACAATGTCTCTGTCAAAATGTACAGGAAAGTCTTGCTCACATTTGATAGCAATTCTTCTGGTACGACTAGCTCCCCTGTACTGGCAATGTGGATGTCTGGCACCTTCGTTTCTCAGAGTACAGACAACAACATCAAATGGTTGAAGGCTTTTCCTCATTTGATCAGGTGCAGGCTCACCTGCACCTCCACAAATCCGTTTAACTAGGTTAGTGTTGGCTCTGATGAAAGTGTTGGTCTCCTTACATTCATTGCTGTCAGTTTTTGAAATGCGTCGTTGGCTAATTTCTGCATCACATCGGGTTCGGCTCATATGTACATTGATATGCTGCTTTATAAATTTTCGGTAACGTTCTCTAACTCTTTGATCTTGGCAGATTGCAGAGCTGAAAAGCAACAGCAAACAGGCAAGTGGGATCTTCATTGTCCACTGTGGAAACAAATATAGAAAAACAGAATTGAATAATGTGATTAATATAAAAATTAGTCATACGATTTAGACAAAAGCTTAATCAGAAAACTACAAAAAATAAATTCACGAACCAAAAGACGAAGCTGGTATTCCTTTTTCTTCTGTCAAGACTTGCTCTTGAAGCTGAAATAAAATATCAAAAGTTAAAACATATTGTTTAAAATATGTCAACAAGTATCTTTATGCAGTTGTTACCTCAATTGCTGAAAAACTGATATTGGCAAGTGTAAAGTGAACAAGCATCTTTTTAAAGGATTTGTTTGGGACTTTGACTTATTGATCAATAATTAAACTGGAAGGACAAACCGAGATGGAGCAAAGGTGAATTGGGTCAAAAGCTTTCTCAAATTACAAAAAAAAGACATAAACAGGGTTGCGTTCCAAGATACATAATTTCATTTTTATAGTCACACAAAAACATTTCCAATATTTGAAGTTTTGGGAATCTCACAAAATGTACCTGAAAATGTTTAAAGTCTATATCATGATTTGATGAGTCTAAGTAAAAGAAAAACTGTAGTCGTGATATTTGGAAATAGATCTCACTTTTTATGTGTTGTCTTGAAACAAAATCTAGAAGATCTAGTATTACAGTTTTAAAAGATGGTGAACATTATTTTTAATGTCACAGCATGAGTGTTGCTTGTGACATCTATTTTGTAGTTACCTTCACTGTTTGTCTGTCAACATTTAAACAACCTAAAGCCCAGTCACCCAAACCTAATGCTACTGTGTTTCCCGTAAATAAACTAGATAAGAATTGTTTGCTTGGCTGACTGGCTTCATTTTATATCTGCTCTTAAAACTCACCTCATTTGAATTTCAAGCCAATTTTCAATTTAGTTTTTATTTTATTGTTCTTGTGAAAATAAATGAATGTTTAATTTTAAGATATTAATTAATAGCTACTTGGCATGGACACTTTTTTTTTCTTTTCTCTCCAAGTGAAACATTTTCACTTGGATTTACCTTTGGCAGAAGTAACTGGCATCAAGTGTCAGTGAAAACTGGCTTGGCAAAGGGGCCTTTTACAATTTTATGATGGATTTCTCAATTACCATTTTCTTCAGACTTTTATCTTGCTCTTCCAGTTACAGATTCCTGGACTTTCTCATTAAATATTTTACTTATTTTTATTGCTATTTTATTTTTTTGTCAGTTGCAGTAAGTTAAAGTAAATCAACCACAGACAATCACACCATCCCTGTTTGACTGGGTTAGTTGTAAAGCAGTACAACTAACTAAAGTACAGTACTTTTAAGTAGTACAATCCTAAATTTCCTCCTTCGTCTATTTGAAGGTCTGAAGTCCTGTATATAACCAGCAGGTGGCGCTAAATATCAACTTTTGAGAAGACCTGTCACTTTTAGGAAGACAGTATTTTACATAAACTCGAATCCAATTGCATGTCCATTAATACTCTTTCATTTTGTTTTGAATGAATTCACAATACAGTTAGACTCTGTTGCTGGTAGGAAATAAAAAGTGTTGGATTGCATCAGATTTTCATTTTCACATCGTCATTCAAAATTAGTATGGGTTGACAGTGAGGAAAAACTATTTCAAATTAACAGGCAGAAATCTCCAGAATAACCAGAAGCAGGCTCAAGCAGCAAGCCTCAACTAACAGAAGGTAATACATTAAAAGATTTTTGTTATTGGAGTTTTATATTTACATCATCTGAGTTTTTAACGCTCTGAGTTGCAGATGAACACATGTCTGTCTTTCCACAACGTGACTCCATTTCTTTGGAGATTTTTCACTAGTTCTAAGGCCGGGGGATGTGAAGATAAACAGTAAAACAGAAGAAAAAAAAAATCACAGATTGGTTTTCTTAAGAAAAAAAAGATTTTTTTATGCTCACTTTCAAAACAAACACGACCCATGAAATAAAAATAAATGAATTAAAAAAATATGATCTTTCTGTTATATCTGGGGTTGTTTTTTTCTTAAAGAAATATGTGTCACTTAGCAATAGGGGACTAGAAACAAACAAGAAGTCTGATCCATAGCGAAGACAACAATACAACATCTGTTGCCTGCAATCCAAGCATGGATTTAATTACATATTTATAATATTTTTCCCAGAAATTCTCCAAGTTCAATTTCCTCTGAAGCCTTAAAATGAAAACAGTCTTTAATACAGCTGAACACTGTCACATGTAAACCTAGAACCATTTCTAAAGTGTCTATGATGTCAATTGACATGGTGGCCCCTCTGGGCTTGGACTAGGAACACTAGCTTTATTCCCCAAAGGCTTGTGGCTGGCTTTCTTACCAGCCATAATGGTCATATTTACACCATTAATTCTAATTAAATGAATCAGCTTTCTTTTCTAATTTAGACATCTGCTTGTGGGGGTAAAATGTTAAAAAAGGCTAAATCAAGGAGTCACTCTCCACTGCAATACACAGTGATCATACCAAGGCGTTCCAAGGCCAGACATCATGGCTTTTTGGAAAGTTCTGGCTCTTTCCTGTGGTCTCCCCAAATCAAAAATGTGGAGGCTACAAGAATTAACTCTGAGCTTCACAACTCATTTCCTTCTCTATCATAAGAGACTGGGACAACTCCCTACTGCAGAAGAAGCATCAGTCTGTCTTTCCATCTCATCATCCTGCAAGATCTCCAGTCACACAGTGGGCAAACCAAAGGGTAGAATCTCCAGAAAAGGGCCTTTTTTGTTGTGCACAGAAGTACTGAGAACTACACCACCATGCAACCCTGTGTTGATTTGTAGTTTCAGTGTGAAGAAATTAATTGTTTGAGTTTTTGGTTCATTTAATTCAAAAAAGCTGAAAATTATAAGGGCTTAGAAGGAAAAAAAGAGAAAAAGAAAACAGATTTGTATTTTCAATTAAATCAGGGATAAATTCAGATCAGGAAAAAGTATTTACTACAAATCTTTTTATTATTATTATTTATTTTTTTATGACTGTCATTTGAAACCAAGAATTTTTTTTTTTTTTACATATTTTCCATGTGAATTTTCTGAAAACATAATTATTTGCTTTTGAACTATTGTATTGAATTCCATGTTTTGAATTTGAGGTCAGTAACCAGGATTTCTTACACAGAAATGTGACGTCACAGATTTATTGTTTTCTGTGAGTGCAGAACCTAAAGTCTCCAGACTGTCACAGCGGTTTAGACTGAGGTGGCCTCTCAGGTTGGACTGTTTGGATTTTCTCACGCTGATCTGTAATCTGCTCCACAATGACCTGCAGACTATTTATAGAGCTGTCAGGCCCTGAGTTTATATTGGGATCTGCAGCCAGTCTGTACAGTACTGCACCCTGACAAAGTTTGAACATTATCTCCCCCCCAAAACTCCACCCCTCCAACACACACTAGGACGGCATCAAGGCTGGAATGTGAATTTGTGTGTATTTTTAGCATGTTGTCGTCGTCGTGGCAGAATCAGGAGTAGCAGTTGTTTTCAGCGTCACATGAAGTTTCCATCCAACAACAGCTGCTTCATTTTCTGATGGTTGCTGTAAAGCTCCACCCACACTGACCTCATCATCCAGTGCTTAACTGCTGTCTGCTTTACATTAGAAACAGAGTGAAGATTTCATAAGTATTCATGTGACAGTGTCCTACAATATCCCTGTTCTGTTGTCTATTTTTACACAAACACATTTTCTGTGTTCAGAAAAGTCTCCTGAAAATATTCCTACCAGTCCCCAGTGTGGGATTGGGATTATATGGAAGTAATATCACCCCAGTATAAAGACTGCAGGTCTTGACAGAGCTCATTGAAGGATTTTGCAATGAACAACTTTCAATGCTAAAGCAGCAGGGCTGTCAGTCAGTTCAGCATTTTTTGCCCGTGTTTCTAATTTGTACCTTATAAATATATCAAAATACTAAATTAGCTCCTCAAATGGAGAAAAACAGCTCATTTGCACGCCATCTCACATTTTAAGAGAATCACAGTTCAAGGAGACAGTTAGAGATGACAGGATTTGTTTTGTTCTCCCTCAAAATATGATTCTAGAGTTTAATTTTAAATGGAAAGTGTTGTTTGTGAATGTTATTCACTTCAGCATTTAAGCAGGAGCTCCCCATAGTGTTTGGTCAGGATTTGTAAACACAAACTGGTGATACTATAACTACAAGTTCATTGATACAGCTTAAAACAATAAATGGAAAGACAACTAATCTGACTTGTTCATCACTCTGAACAGTTTTTACTCTGAGCCTAAAAAAATGAGCCCAAATATTATTTTGTGTGGAATGTCATCATCTTCTTCTACCTCTTCTACAGATTGTTTATTAAGAGACAAAATATTGTAACAAACATACTGACCTCCCTGATCATGTGAAGAATTAACTGGGATTGATTTGGAAATCTTGGTTCAGTGGCCACACCCTGTTCTCACTGCTACGAAATGTTGATACTGGTGTGAACGGGAGCGTGCATGAGTGCATGTGTTTGCAAATGTAATGGAAGGTCTGGCGTAAAGCGCCTTGACTGAAAAAGCGCCAGAGAAGTTGTAACTATGGTAAGTGTTCCTAATTCAACAATCATTAAGGCCAAAACAAAGAATGGCCATAATGATGGAGTTCCAAGGCAAATCTATCGCTATCTAAAATGGCACAAAAGCCATTCACTCCCCACCCCACAAAGAAAACATCTTGATAATCACAATGACTTTCTTCCCTAAGAATGAGAAAAAAGAGGAAGACTTTGGCTTGTGGAATAAAAAGTGTAGCAAACAACAACTTTGTCATGCAGAGGCAAGTAGCTTTTTTTGCAACTTAATAAAATGAAAGATTATCTAGACAATGGTCTGATATTAAAATTTGACACTGTGAAACATTTATATGTGATAAAAAAAATAAAAAAAAGCAAATAAAACAAATTAACCTGGAATAAATCCATAAGTTTGAGAAGTTTCTTTCACAGCACTGGAATTGTTTGCACATGGAGTGGATGTGTTTAATCTGTTAGGCAGGTGTGTAATTCCAAGTGTTTTGATAAGTAAGAAGTAACATATTTCTCTGTCTTATGTTGAAAGGGAGGCAGAGTATCCTGCAGTAACTGGGGTCAGCTGAGGACATTTTCAGTCCAGTTCTATTAAACAAAACCTTTGTCTCTACTGTCATATCTTTATAGAAATGGGAAAAATCTGCAATATGCCTCATTTAAAGTTAATTAATAAACATCCTTGGCTTTAAAATACTTATCTTTCTACAAGGCTACAAGACCGGAGCTGAAATAACTTTTAAGGTTCTGCTTTCTCCTTTATCTCCTCTGAT